GGTCAACTTTTATTGTTCTGAAACATGAGGTAGAAATTGGTGACTGGATAAAATCTTTATTGAATAAACAACCTCCTGAAAAGCATTATTAAAATATTCGTAAAAGTCATCGTTATGTTCAAAGCAAGTATCATAAATAAGGCAGTATAAATTACATGAGAAACAGTGAATTGTAAAACGAAAAGAGAACAATTTTCGAAAAGTTTCAACATAATTATGGCATAAGATTGGCGTTAAAATAAGTTCCTTTCATCTGTGCACTGATGTTTCAGTGATGACTTGAGTGGTGGCGTTCAGCTGAGCAAAACTTATTTAGTTAGATCATGTCTGAATTATTACCAGTTAATATGTGAATAGCAATGTTTAGTTCGACTAGTAAAAATTGTGCACAAAAACTGACGCTGGTTTACTGTTTACTGTGCGATTCAGAGATCACAATTTTTCCGGCAACTCTATGCTCAACGATAAGAGCTAACCTAAGGATGAGCGCAGAATCCAGAAAGCTTTAAGAAAACCAAGTTCGTTATCGTCAAGCAAGTTCACGACTCATCATCAGCAAGGGATAGAGTGAATCCGACAAAGTGCTTTCTGGTGAATCGAAAACTTAAGCGAAACGGAATCGACCGGTCGTTTTGTAGAGACTCCGTAACGTCTGACCCGACGCATATGAGTGTGGGTTTCCTCGAGCATGTGGAATAAAAACTCGTTCACCATACATAAAGTGACGATTGAATGCATGATCCTGAAAGTACCGATAGAGAATTGCCTCAATTAATGAATGCCGATGAGATTACGTAGTTGTGTTCGTGCATAGCACGGATGAACTCTTATGATGGATATCAGTTGGGTTTCTCTCAACACAGCGATTTTTTCGCCTCGATTCAGTTCTCACTCTGTATTCAGCACAACTGCCAGATCAAAAAAAAAAGAAAGAATCATTTGGTACATTATAGACAGAAATTTCAAACACTCAAGCTTTCGGAAACCTTACGACCGCGAAGCTTGCGATTGGTAAACTAAACTCGCAGAGTAATTAATTTATCTTTGCTGTTTTCTGGCCAACGTGAGACATACACATGATATGTGGTAATCGAACAATGAGAAGTTATTTTCAATCATCATATGATATGAGTTGAGAATGTAAACGAAACGGCTAAGCAGTTTCGTTTAAATGAAAGAAAAAAAAACATGAGACGTACTTGAGGAACTCTCCACTCATAGGCAGTGTAGGCGTATTGTTGTGCAAAATCGTCAGCCTTTAATCTAGCCGATACGTAGTTATCCAAATATCTCTGTGAGCCGGATATATATGAGCGCTGGTTTTCTAGACGCTACAAAACAAATATTAACGAATCTCGCTTTTTACAGCATAAGACACTTACGATTTAAAGTCTTTTCATACGTTACTTGCTGATGTTTTTATCGTTCAAATGAATGTGCCATTCAAGTTGACATTTCTCACAACATAACTTTTATCAAGAAGTTGGGAAAACCTCTGATGAGCCTAGTTTGATAAAGTATTTGTTTGTTTTGAGGAATATAGAACAGTTGCTATCCACTACGTGACAAGATATGATCTAAACGTATATCGGTGTGCCGTCTGTTCAGATTGTCAGTCGCTGAAAAAAACGAGCACGGACATGCCCAGCTCAAACCCGGAACACGAATTTATTGAGCGTACCTGATTATTGAAGATCCTTTGCGTTTGAAGTTGATAGTAGGGTACATGAGAACTGTATGGAAGTGGCTCATAAGCGGATTTACGATAGAGCGGCTTCGTGAGTGACCGGTGTGTGTCCTGCAAAAGCGCTCATCACTCCACAGACTTCCGGTCAAAATGGCTTATGGTGATCCATTTTTGTACTACTGATCAATCATCAAATTAAGATTGCAGTTGCAAATCTTTAGAGTTGACGAATTTCTGGTCAATAGATGCATGCGTATGATTGAGTGCAGTGTTGAACTTACGATCCATTTGGCGACACTGTATGGTTTATTGTACCAGTCGTAAATGTTCGGCTTGTAAACGGTAGATGACGGCAGGAAGCGTTCAGCTTGTCTGTAGTGCTGTGGAAGTGCTAAGGATGGTGCAAGTGAGGAAACGGATGAAGAGCGACGAATCGGATAGTCGTGTACTGCTTCCTGAACTTATGGAATGTTGCTCAATTGTTGAGTCTCATCACCAACAACGTATCAATTCAATGGTCAGATTGCTTATAATCACTTGTTCAGTGAAATGATCTCTTGAAATGATAGCAAAACGACATTAACTGATGAGGATGAAGATATCTATATGGCAGTTAAGAGATATTATGAAAAGATATTTCACGTGTGAGATTATAAGTGCTCAGCGGCCATAAGATGCCTGAATGAAATCACCCTTATATAGGTGAGATTTGTGTACGAGGCGGATCGTGCAAGACGTTTAGGTTTACTCCACACATTCGACATATACGTGTTATAAGTGGATTGAGGACGAGCCATTTCCATATATTTCCTGAAACGAGAACAATCTGAGAGCTGAAAACCGAACATGAAATGAAACGGATTTTAAACAATTCGCATAATGGAATACTACTCATTTGCGATTGTTTTCAAATGGAAATTTGTCTAAATGCATCCAAAAGAAATTGCCGATCGCACTTACGATGTAGGATAGTCATTCCACCATTTCATGTCCGTATCCACATCATCGGCGATCGCTTGCGCTCTTGACATCATCCCAATACCACTTATATGTCCCATCCCTCTGATTCCTCAATCCTCAAAATGCTTTCGTTGGCTTTATCCTTTTATTTACTCCAATTGAATCGTTGCGATAAATTAACCAATCCAATGCACATTCAAAGAAACGATAAGAGCTAGAGCTGAATGAACTTACGAATTCACTGTTCTAGATCAAAACACATCACATAGATTACACAACATTAACGTTTACGAACTTTAGAACGCAAAACTAGAAATCGTGGTCAAAGTATGAGTCAACCACTCGAATAAAATACCTGAGCACTGCTAAGAAGAACTTTCAACATATCTAATCGAAGCATCAAGTAAGCAAGGCAGAAGAGAAAGGAGGAGTAAAAATTGACTCGAACAAAAACGAGGCGTTGAGTTTTCGGTAATAATAATGATAGTGATAAGGTTACAGCTGAGAGAATCAGTTGAGAGTATCGTTTTGTTGAGGTGTTTATCAAGAAAGTTGGTCGAGCAACTAGATTGAATGTGTAATGAATTTGAATGATGAAGAATGCATTCATCAGCAACAAAAATAAAACATCAGCAATTGCTTCATTGCAGTGCAAGTTCGTGGAGTGTTGCTGTGATCTGAAGAAATGCTTACGTATTTATGTTCAACAAGAAGGATGATCACATTTCATGTTTGACGCAAATAAACAAAAATAAACATTTGAATTTGAATCATACTCTATGAAACACAAGAAAAACAAGCAAGTCTATGAAATCAAGTTGACAGTGATGAGTGGTTTCAAAACGATTACTCCGTAATGATGGTTTGGATTTCAATGAAAACGAGATTTATTGACTAATCTATTGATCAACTTCCACGATCAGATAACTTCGTTCATCTTTTTGATTGTAAATATTTTCTCAGCCAAGATTATTTTCAATAACGACACAACATTTTGAAGCATTCAAGATTCTTAAGAGAAAAAAACTGAAACTACACGAACGTCACTTTATTGATGGATGAACGTCGATTCATCATTAAATTCGATTGAGATGCAATCGGAGTTCATTAGCAATAATTCGAATAACAACAAAGAATNAATCGCCCTACGAATGAAACGACGGATGAAATAGAAATAAACTGTGGAAATGGTCTGAGTTCAAGTGAAATGATATTTGATTGTTCAAATATGTGAGTGTTCTGTTGGATAGTGGTAAAAGTAAGTGGTCGTTCAATGCTGTAATAATATCTCTTGAACTGGTGGCTGCTGCTGCTATTGCTGTTGTTGATGCTTTGAACTGAACGTCTTCTTCGACTTAGGCTGAGGTGCTAAGTAGCATCAGCAAGTAGCAACGGAGGCGTAAAAAAATACAGAAATCCGTATTGTTGCTCAAATTTTTGTTATGCTTTATCCCAATCCTTTGTTTACTCATTTGTGTCTTCTTTACTCTAACACCATCATATAACTGTTATGATCATAATATATTCTTGTTCTGTTATCTCAGCATAAGTATTTGCTGATTGCATACTGCATTCAGAACTCAACAATTCTTTCACTTACATCGCTCAGGTGGGTGTTTCAGAGCCTTCTCGCTGATTATATCTCTTGAAGAATGAATGCTTCCCTACTTGATTCTTTCACACCAGTGCGAGTTTTTAGTTATTATCAATTAATATTAGCACCTTAAACATTTGATTTTTTCACCTATCTGATATTGTTCAATCAATGTTTATTGAGACACATGTTAGCTGCGAATTGGATTGATTCAATGCTGGATACTATTTGGATTGAATTCTAAGTGCTTGATTTTTCAGTCCCTGAGACATCGATGAATGAAATCTGATTCAGTTTCATGAAATCTATCCTCTTTTTTAATCGTTGCATTGGTTTGAAAAAAATTTCTATCAAAGATAGAAAATTCAACAAATTAACATCTTCTTCAGGATGTTTAACTTCAGTGAAATGGAAAGAAATACCGCAATTTTTATAAAGTGATCGCACTCTCTCTAAAAAAAAACATCGCATCACATTTATCATAAAAACAATATACAAACATGAATTTATTGGCAACAACATGAAACGACTGATTACTTAAGCATTGGAATCTTATGAATGGGCACAAACGAACGGCTATTAATGTGAGCGTGATTACTCTGATTGATATTCTTGTCATTACAGTTATTAGTGTCCGGAAATGCTTTCACAATGCGAATACAATCTATACAATTCACACGGAATGCATCACAGCAATCCGCTATCAACTTTGTCGATTGTAGCACATTGCTAACGATTAACGGCTTGAAAGTGTTCAACTCAAAATGACCATTCGACCCTCCGACGGTCACGGAGGTGTGATTACCGACCACTTGAGCGGCTAGCATGGCCAACATTTCGCAGTGTGTCACATCAATTTCCACTCGCATCTTTGGAACGTATTCCGAAAAGCGATCAGATTCTTCATTTTCGGCACTTTCTGCGTCAATGATTTGATATGCTGACGTTGCCGAGTAGTCGATTTCATGAAGTTTAGTGGCAATTTGCATGAGCGCCAGCGCGAGCATATTCAGTGCAGCATGACACTCAACCATAGCATCGTGAGCGGCCAACGCCTCGAATTTATTCGGCGCTGTTTTGAACGGATACCCCGTCAGTTCGGCTATGCGATCAGCCATTTTCTCAGCGAATCCTTGCGGTGCATTCAAGCCGGTACCGACGGCCGTGCCACCGGCAGCCAACACCAACAGTCGTGGCATAGCCTTTTGAAGGCAGCACTGTAGATCAGCGCTAAGAAGTTTGGCGAATTCATTGAACAGGTCACCGAAATTCAGCGGAATATTCGCGGTGGCGTTATGAAGATAGATATTTTTTAGTTGTTTTGCTTTCTTTTCAAAAGTTTCAATGAGTTTTTGAATGGACGGCACCATATTGACATTCAGATCACACATGACAGCGATATGCATGACTGTCGGAAAAGCATCATTCGTGGACTGTGACATGTTGACATGATCGTTCGGATGCACTGGCTGTTTGCTACCGATTTGTCCGTGCAGCAATTCAATGGCACGATTTGCAATCACCTCGTTCGCGTTCATGTTCGTTTGCGTACCCGAACCGGTTTGCCATATCACCAACGGAAAATCATCATCAAACTGACCACTGACAACCTCGTCAGAGGCTTGCGATATGGCACGTGCAATCGTCGGATCCAATCCAAATTCGCAATTCACTTCAGCGGCCGCTTTTTTGAAAATACCAAAAGCGCGAATAATTGGGAATGGCATCTGCTCTTCGAGCTCATCACCGATGCGGAAATTCTTCAACGAGCGCGCCGTTTGTGCACCATAATAACGATGTGCAGGCACCAATACTTCACCGAAAGTATCATATTCTACACGAGTTTTACTTTCAGCAGTTTTGTTTACGTTTGAAGCAGCAGCAATCATCTTCGGAACAGTTCAAACGAATGCAATTCCTCACGATAGTACGTTGTAATAACGGGAAGAAGAGACCAGAAATGATTATTATTATTTGTATTTGAATGGGAGATATCAATGTAACGTTCGATGCTTCCTCCTGCAATTAATCGATGGTAAATATAATTGATCTTTGTATATTCAAATGATTATCATGGCTCATGCCGAACATTCGCGACAAAATGCATTTCGATGTGCGTTAATCCTCATCATGATGGTGGTATTTGTTCCACAAATAAATATTCTGAGAATGAAACAATTTTTTTCCCACAGAAAAAGCGAAAGTTCTCAGAAAGAATTTGAGATTTCTGCTTTTTCTAGAATCGAATCCTTTCTAATGTATTTTCTGATTGCATTTCCAGTGATTTTTTCAAAACATAAACTTTTCCGTACCTTGTTCAATGTGGTATTTTCTTGTATTTATGAAACACAGAGAACGTGACTGCAAAACGACGAAGAAATGCCTGAAAGAAATCAGTGTATCACATTTATTAGTGCATTAGAAAGTGTTTGTAAAAGAACACAAAAGAAGTGTGACACGAAGTCCAATGGAGATCGAAATCAAACCCTACTCATTAAAAAAATTCTCGAATACAATTTATTCGGGACGTTCGAAGTGAATGACTTGAAAAAATTCGAACGCCATGCACGGAACGTGAGCAGACATCAATAAGTTGTTGTATCAGACTAGGAAGAAGAACACTTTAATTAGAAACGTTTGCAAGAAGAGCGTATATTATTGATGCAAAGATGTATTAAATGAATAAGCGAAAAAGTACGGAAATTGAATCAACTCATAATTTATGGTCATCTCTGAATGCGTAAACAACACAGGTGACAACATAAGTGACGAAATGAAAGAAAACGCCATGTTGCATCATCATATCAGTATCTCAAAAAACGGGATCAAAGTACCACCCTTTCTTCGAGGTGATTACAATAGCAACCGTGATATTCGAACAACAATCAATAATGAAATTTACGATTGTGCAAAAAGAATCGGTTTGAATAAATACGAATCGATGGCATCATTCGAAAATCGCATGTAAAACAATCATATACACTAGAAAATNCTGATCATGAGATCGTTCGTGCTCAGCTAAATGTTACACGTGATGAATGTGAATCAAAAATGAATCTACACTTTAATGATCCTATAATGGTATATACTGCGCCCGTAACTGAATCAACACTGAGCTAGATGTCTTTATTTATGTGATTTTATCTGATGAATTGAATTAATAATAGCATTGAATTCAGTTAATCGTATTGACGAACCAAATAACAATATCAGACAATCAAATTAATGATATTGACGAATTGATTTAACAGTACTGGCGTATCAAATTATTAACATTAACGGACCGAATGAATAATATTGACGAATTGAACCATTAATATTCTCGCATGTGAGAATGAAATATGATAAACATCAATAAAGGAGAACTGAAAAAGTGAATGGATTGGAATCAGCAGTTGAACGTCGACAATATTTTGATAAGTCTTCGTTAATCTCGTCGATTTTTTGTTACATTTTGTCAAACATGCGAAAAGGAGGACTCCATTTAACGAATCAACAATTCAACGGCATTATTGTTATTCGTGATGGCAATGATCCGTTGTGGTGTTGTGGGCAGTGATTAAAATGGCATTTTTTGTTTGGAACGATATCGATTCATCATTTCACATTCGCAAACCATATGGTAATTTTTTGAAAAGAAAAACTCACAACCACATGGCCGTTCCATATGTATACGTTTCTTCGAATAGCAACATTCATCTCGTTATCATTATATTTTATGTTCCCCAATTCTGATTTCTGGATGGTGTCGTAAATATTAGAGATTCGATTAATTCATGGCTTCGCATATGGAATACTTCGTCATTAGAGACATTTTCAGTACGTGATTAAGTGAATGTGATGATGTTGTTTACTGCACTGATGGATGATGCCTGCCTCCTCAATGCACTTCGAAAATGTCGCATCAATTTGAAAGTACATCGATAAGCACTGTTTGGTATTTGGCTGCATTTGATTTATTGCTGATGGCCATCGTACGTTACTTTGCAAATTTCGTTGAAGCGTAGTTCTCCTGATTGCTGAATTCAACGATCTGATCGTTAACAGTTTTTCCCCGTTAAACTGCTGCAGCTTTCAAAAATCCACCGAAAACTCGCCTAAATGAGCAGAACAGAACGTTCAACTGATGCGAAACTGCAGTCTTGATACTGGCCAGTACATATGGTTTCTCTTACTGATGATGAGTTTGTTGTTGCCATTAGATTGGTTGCCTTTTTTACTGATCACTGATCATATGATAGAGCATAATGGCAGAATAGAGAAGTCTGACCTTTTGAATTATTTTCTGATCTGTGAAATTTCATTGCAAATAACAATTTTCCTAAGAAAATACGTTGATTAGTTCACATTGAAAAACAGCAAAGTTATTGTGTGTTGTTGTTATATTACTGAGAGTGATTAATAAACAACAGACGAAGATTATTTTATTTCAATATAATACAATAGTCAATCATAACTATGACGTTAAAGGTTCATTATAGCCACAGCAGGAACGCTTCGAGCTGATTGAAGTCGACTTCTGAGTTCATTGAAGGTTCATTGAAGCCGCAGAGGTTGAGCAAATCAATAGTCTAAATGTGTGTTTGATGACCGAGGAGGTAATGAGTGGCGATAGAATTTCGACTGGAACGCTTGTTTGACTTCGGCGCGTAGTTTTCGCTCACCCAGTCGAAAGTCTGTGGCCAATTCGACGAAACCGTCATGAACTCGCAGTTGTGGATTAATGAATTCAAGCGATTCCTGAACGAAAACAACGATACAAATGTTCTTCAATCACCAGAAGCATATCTTATGTGTTACACAGAAATATATAATCATATGAGAACGTGTGCATTTTGGAACGTTTATAAAGCGTTTTTGCTTAAGACAACAATATTTGTCTGAAATAAGACATTGGCATGTGATTGAATCAAGACAGCGAATTAAATTTGTAGCGAGACCTGCAGTGGAAACGGTAGACCTTTGCGTAGTGCTTTCGACAGTTGTGGACCAAGGAAGGTTTTAGCGAGTGGGGCCATTTGTGAAATTTCTTCACTACTGATACCATCCACTGCACTTCGATGCAATCTGAAATTCCACAAAGCCCAATTTTAATAGTGCTCCACCCAAACAGGCACAAGTTTCTGAAAATTTCCATTCAAAAAGCTTGCATCTGAATTCAAAATCATAATGCTCTCCCATTGAAATGAACCCACTGAACTCACCCGACTGCGAGTTTATGAAGTTTAAAGTCTGCAGCAAAATTGTGATCATCAATCAGCAAGCGTAAATCCGCAACTACATCCGTTGAACTCACTAAAATTTGTCGCCGTCGTCTTCCCTCATTAATATACGTCAAGACTCTTGCTGAAATTCAAATATTCCCTCATAAAACGTTTGCCGTACCAATACAATAAGAAATAATATCTAATTTATCGGTTATGCGATTGCCTGGCAAATCTAGTGGATGTTATAGTCAATTTTTTCGTAAATTTGCATTCCTCAACAAGTGATTCCGATTCGATCAAATATAACTTCGAAAAATAAACTTTTCAGATCAATTGTGCCAATGCCGTCGATCAGCTGGAATACAGGCAATTCGTGTGGAATCAGAACGAACGATGATGTCGCATTTGGGAATTTCTCAGCGATTGCCGGAATTAGCTTTCCGAGACAAAACGTTGCCAAAAAGTTTCCGCCTGTTGGCTTCGCACACGATGTCCACAGAAGTGGTTTATACGTTGGTGGCAACGATGATTCGTCAATCTGAATTTACAAACATCTTGACGAAAAAACACATCAATGAAAGAGTAATAAACCGCAGTTTGCTAATGAAATCACGATTCCGGGAATGACACATTAATCTGTTATCAATTTGAGGATTGATTCGGTTTTTTGCACTGCTGAACTAAATCAGTTCGATGCGAACGGACCTTACCTCCAGCATTAGTCGATTCCCTTCATATGCATGAAATAGCAATGAATTAAACAAATATTCAGATCCATAAAAGTAGAGCATTCGATCAGAATCATTCGTGGTGCGCATTGGAGACGGGAAGAACGGTGTACGGCGTGGATTATCGTCGTATCGAATCTCACCTGAACTGTGTGAAAGAATATGATAGGAATCGAAATTAAAATCCCAGGAATTTTTACTGTTTTTGAATTTTTACTGAAGTATCTACGAAAATCTGTGACTTCAGATCCAGTTTTTCGCATGATTTTTGACCGGATTGCGACACTGCTCTTTAGATCAGAGTGATTAAAATTTTTCATATTATACCAGCAGTTGCAGTAATAGGTTCTGCACCAATTATCTCATCTGCAGGATGAGATAATTGGTGCAGAACCAACCATATTGCCTGAAATATTTGTTTTTTTTTGCTTTGGGAAGAATTAAAACATTCGGATTCACCGCAAGAAATGCGCTGTGAGTATATGTTGAATGCGTGTGAATTTATTGACTGACCCGATTGTTGTGTTTCAAAGAAATCGTAAGTAATTGTTGGATCAGCAATGTTTCGGTTATCGATGTAAAGTCCCTTCGTGAATCGATGCACTAAGCGTTCCACTGCCGGAATACCGATTGGCCCAGGGGTTTTGAACTGATCACTGAGATCCGCACGAGCGAGTCTCTTCAAATAACCACACAGTTTGTTGAGAGAGCATCATCACATTACATGATCCCGCCTGGCAGTATATTGGCTCACCAAGTTCAACGACGAGGTAAGAATCGTGCAGAAACACTAGACTCTATCTGCTGTGATCAGATGAAATTATTCCAAAGTTATGAACGATTTTGATTTGATTGAAAATGCATAAAACAAACTTTGAATAGCGCCGGTGATGCGTCCTCGATGAATTTTTGTATACTACTACACAAAACGCTCGGTATTTGTTGCCTTATCGCATCATTTATTTGTACCTGCATTAAATTCATTTCAAGTGAGACAAGCTTAATAGAAAACTGCGTTGAATTTTTCCAAGCTTAATTTGTTTGCACAGTTCGCTTCTGAGCTATTTCCTCTATGCAAACAGCCGGATTTCCTTAGTTAACCAACGTCAAAATGTATGCAGTCCCCTTAAGGTCGATAAACGCTACCTCAAACATCTTAACGAGACCACTGAATGGCCCCTCAGCATCGATGTAGAACTCACTATAGCGTACCGTCGTTGAGCAGTCAACTACCTGAAAATTTCGTGTTCTTCGTTGAATTATCAACAGCACTGGAGCCGTTAAATTCCGACCGAACCATATAACCTTTATTTCAATTTTGAAGTAAGTAAGTTCTGGCTAAGAAAATCGTTGACCTATCGAATTAACTTATTGTTAGCAGATTAATGCGAAAAACATCATTCTAATTCCAGTGAATTTTACAGAGCTAGTACATCGGTTACAACATTTGAATGGAATTCTAGAGTTGTTCGTGCAAAACGCAAAGCCGCACCCTAACTTGCATAAGACCATCTGGTGCTGTTTTGAATTCAGTCTGAATGCTGATGCTCAATTGCCGAAGATCGCCGGTCACGGCACCTTGGATTGACATCAAGCCAACCAATCCGAGAAACCTTCCGGTTAACCTGAAAACCATCTAAACTTCAGCTTTGATGGACTATTGAGAATACTGACTAACTGCACGGTGATCATCCTCACCAACCGAGGATGCTATTTTCGAAGCATGATTATCAGACTCCTACTGAGAAACTCACGCGATATCAATTCCTTGAAGTTGAAGGAGAATATACGAGGGTGGCATGAAGTTGAGTGCTGTATTGACTGGTGGTACGTAATGTAACACTTGTAGATTGGATAGAAGTAATTTACCATTGAATCCTGTAAAGAACTGGAGAATTAATCGTTTTTGGAGCAAAAGAGCATTTTTTGGCCTATTTCATAACCGGATACAAGAAAGGACAGAGCCCACTTGAAAACAATGCAGACTAATGCAGTTAGTTTTTCAGCACCCGCACGATCACTTCAGTATTCACCTCGAGTTTTAGGTAATGTGCACAATCGACTGGGAGCGATGGTTGACACACCTGTAGCAAGTGTCACTACTACAGTTCTTGTGAACTAGTCAGTACGGACCTTTACAACTCAGAATAGAGTTCTTAATAATTACGAGGAATCTCGTTGTAGGCTTATGAATGGGAGTTGATGAGATCAACACACAACCTGGTTGTGAAAATGAATGTTCAGCGCTGAAGCCTCGTAGCTGTGAAATTTCTTCATTTAAAATTTTCACACCAACGTTTTTCACATGTTCGGCGCCCTTCTTCGTTAATCGTATCTTCACACCGGGCCATCCTTAAATGCTTTTGTATACGACATGTTCTTATCTAAATTGAATGAGTTCATGGATCTGTACGCTTTTCATGACAGCAGCCTTTGTGTTGAGGTAATTGATTGTTTGATTAATTGAGTTATTGCAAAATTCGTATAAGATCATCACTTTCTCCAAAATGTTTTCTTTTCAACTGACGAAATTTTGCGAATTCATCGTTAAAGCGGTGTTTCTTTTCAAAATTAGGATATTAATCTAAATGCGCTCGCCGTTTATTTTGAAGGAATATGGTGTTATCGGATCGCGTTTGATTTCAAACGAATTACGAAATCATGCATCATTCGCATGTGTAATAATTTCTTGTTTCGAAAACGACGATGATATCAAACAAAGACTGATAAGGAGGATCTTCATCATGAAACAGATGTATGAAATCTGCCATTTTCGTGCACTTGGCAGTGAACTGATGACAACTTAGGTCCGGAATTGTTCATGATAAATGAAAATGTTTCGTGATTTGCGCACGGGAGCAGCATTTTCACTGATCGACNCTAGTACGCAATCTATAATAAATGAAATTATAATATAATATAAAACTTTTATGTTCCATGACAATGATTTTACATTCGTATTACAATTTAGTTTTTCCAGCTCTCACGTGAACCTTTCAGCACTTTCAGATATGCAATGAAAACTATTTAAAAGGAAGTGATTAAAAGACTTGATTCTACACCTAAGCTGTCTCTGTTAACGAATGATTATAGTTATCAAACAAATGAATTGGTACCAGGATTCCGATTCCATTTGGATGGTATTTTGAAGAGAATCCTCGTAGCTGACAGAGTGAAAGCAACAGATAATGCGAAAATGACGAAAAATGTTCGCATATTGTAAAACGATCACCACCGGTCAACAGTGTCAAATAGCGTCAGTCGTCTACGAATAGTCGTCGCACTCAATACAGCCGAATGGATGAATTCGTTTCGTCGCCTTTCACTTTTGGGTTTTTGAAAAACCAGAAGATTCCACCCAAGGACTCAACGCGCACACATCAGTAATGTGGACAGTTGCAGCTGAATCATATTAGGGGTATCACACGGCAATACGTGCACAACAACACCAATAACGTTCGCTGTCGTGGTCGTTGATCAATCGTTAAACACAGCAAGTGGATGGATGTATTATATCTGATCCGACCACATCAACCGCTTAACAATGACAACTCAAACGTGATCATCGTTTTTGGTCATCGTTTTTAATCGATGATACCATTAAGTGTGCGTAACGATATCCGATAATGCGTTCGTTCCGTTCCGTCTCTTCAACACTTTAGAATCGCACTTATTATCCCGATTATTATCGTTATAAAATCAGCCAACCAGTTAGTTGTTACCGTTCGCTCGTTTCGTTCAAGGATTATTTCATGCGAAATTTTCTGCCAGAAAAATGATAATTGCCACCTTCTCATCGTGAAGAAGATTTTGATGACCTCATAATTAGTAATGGTGTTGAGCATCAAAACCGCGTACGAATGATCAATTTCTTCTTGCGAAATTCATCGAGGTTATTAACTAAAGAAACAATTTGAATGCATAATCCAGTTCTTAATAATATTCTTGATGATATATGGACTCATTATCGACTCATTTGAGCGTGCACTGAAGTCTCAATGACGCCTCTATATGTATAAGGGCATGAAAGAATATCGCAAATTGTTCAGATCCTGGATTGTCTATTTGTCTTATCAGCTGTCACAATAAAATCACATCTCGATCATCCTTTTTGATCATCACCTTTTTTTTTCGAAAAGTGATAAGATACAAGAAGAAAGCAATGAAAATGTTAATTAGGCAGCTTGAAATTACTGCAGCGAACAACTTCGACGATGAATACGATAATAAGCTGAAAGAAACTATCAATTGAATAAGTGTTGAATAATGAATGCAAATCAACGAAATGAAATTTGAAAAATAAATTATTTGCTAATGGATTGAGTGAGAAATCAGTGAAATTTGATTGAATCTTGGAAGAGAACAGAAGAAATTATTCACGTGTAATGATCTTCGACATTAATGCATTTCAACTTCAATGCGACATATAATAAAACAATGTCACCAGAGGAATACTAATTCTCAGTTTCATTTCTTATTTCGTCGATAATTTGCCATTTGTCGTATTTGGATGAATCACTCGATAGATACGATCATATCGATAAGTTTTCCGAATCTATTCCATCTGTCTAAAAATGTCACGTATCCAACACACACAAACAAACACGCAGAACAATCAGTGCGCATCCCATCCCTCATCCTTCCATTCGACATTTATCTATTTATGTCGTGCATCCATTTCCGTCATTCGTAGGGAAAGTTTTAATTGCCACACCAAATGCAACAAAATAAAAATGCTCACCTTAATGTAGGTGAGGTTTGAAAGACATTATCAAATAAGGAGTGGTTTGGCGCAATACATTTTTTCATTTGAAATGAAAATTTTCCGCACTCCGTGAGAGTACTCCTATTGTTGATTCTCATCTAAACATAACTCTCAAACATTCAGAAACGTATTTTGTTATTATGAACCACGACGAGATGTTTCAGCTTCGTTGAATGGAAACTGTGACTACAATCATTGAGATGTTTGAATGGGTTGAGAAGGAGAAGAAATTTCGGTGAAAAGGTTTGAGTGCTGACGGTCACTTCATATGAATGAAATTTTCTTTGACTTTGAAATGGCACGCATAAATTGACTTAATTGAAGCTGATGATGAGATAGACTAGACGTTGAACAGTTCACTTTTGACGATGATTCAAAACGTTTCCATGAGTGGATTTCGTTCTCTCGATCTTATACCGGATCAACTCATACTGAATTAATGAGGACTTATGAAGATAAACCATCAAAGTTTCTACAATCGAATTTTCAGCTTCACAATGTCATCTTTCAGAAGAACTTTTTTTTCGCAAGAAATTTCTCATTCTACCAAGAAGGTAGAATGAGAATGCGTTTGGTTTCTTCAGAACATNTGCGTCTCAGCTCGAACTCTGTGTGTGATCAACATGAAATGTTAAACTAGAGTAATTTCTATGACTTTCAACACACACTGTTTTTTGTTGCCACACACTATCAACATCATCGTCATTAGCATGAACAAAATGAACGATATAGATGGATTAATAAGTGTCAACTTGGGTTGGAGAAGTTGATGTGTGATACGATTCGTGAGTTCACTCGATTCCCAAATAATTAATAACCACAAAGTTTCGAATAAATCATTCGAATAGCTTCACTAGCTCGCTATCGTTTTATCAGTTAAGTTTTCAAACTGTTAGTTGGATTTTCAGTAGAAAGCTTCTTAATGATTAGTACGAAAGCTTCTTAATGATTAGTATGATGATTGATACTGATGTGTACTATCGGAAAAATGCTGATGAGGATTTCAGCAGCTGAACGCTATCTAAGTTTCAGCAGTACAATTTTCACACAAAAACTACTCGTCTTTCGAAGAGTTAGAAGATGCATGTCTAAGCAAAAAGTACGTTGTGCAGCATTTTTACACTCGCCTCACTTGCACCACAACCTGTTGGCTCGTTTGCTTGGTACCTGGAGCGGAAACGGTGTGTTTTTTTTGTTTTCAATGGGTTTGTTGCAAAAATACTTTCCATTACACTACGATGGATTTGATATTGCGAAAATTCTTCTGGCTAAATATTTTTGTTTCTTACGTACATTGTTTTACTTCACTTTTCTCATTTGCACTATATGAACAACGTTGCACCGGCAACAAACAAACTGGAAAGTGTTCACAAACTCGAGCAATAACAACAACAACAAAAAAAAAGAGAACGAAAGGAATCGCCGAATAAATTTCAGCGACTTCAGCAATTATGCCCATCATTAGTTTGAACAGCCGAGTGCATTCAGCAATCGAATATTTGCACTAAAATCTTTAATAGATGGTCAATCATATGCCTGCGGTAATTACTAATAAACTGGGTTTCTAAAAGGGAACAATTCGAATTGCTGTAATTTTTCGAGATAAGATATTAAACATCTTTTAGATCTTGTTGAGCAAATCATGAATCGATTTTTGAAGTCAGCTGGATGCCTGAAAGCCTGGTACTGCGACAGCTGAACGATGCGATGTTTGATTAGAGAGTATAACAACCGTTGTAGCTAGAATGGGAAATTTAGTTGTTTTTAAACAGGAATTCAAAATTTCGGTTTTGAAACTGCAGAGTACTCCGAAAAAATCAGAATTGCCCTTGAATAGTAATATCGTATTGTGTTTTCGCCCGTAATCAATAACATTAAACAGTGATCTCCACAACATGGATTGTATCGACTACTGTAAGTGTTCCCGTGCAAAATCAGTAGCTGAAAACTTTGTCTTATTGGTTCAAGTTCAATTCGTAGCCTTCACCATTATCAACTAATACAGAGAACGAACGGGTTATTTAGGCTTGTACTTGATTTGGTTTCATTCCAAAGAAATGCCTGAAGATACGAGACGATTAATTGTTCAATCGGGTCAATCCGATTTTCAAATTAATCGCAGTTGTTACGCACGCACAGCTCTTGATATATTTTCAGCTGAGTGAGATATACTTCGTTAATGCTTTGTGATTAACATACATCAATGTTTTACAATATAAGTGGAAATTATATCAGCAAAAGTGAATAAATACAGCATTGAGAAGCTGGAAGGCGGTCAAGGTTGTTATCTTGAGCAGTGAGTTATGCTGTAGCCAGAGAATAATGCTTTTTGACTGAGCTGAGCGTTTTGTTCTTGTTCTTCTTCTTCGTCTTCGTCATTCTATAGGCCAAACGTTTCAAGGGCGGGATAGTGCTTCTTCTCCGTAGAGGCACCGCTTATTGCCAGCTGAATATTAACTTCCCAAAATGAATGACGACGCTGTCAATAGATACGAGAAATCACAGTCACCATCGAATTCACGATCTGCTGTTCTCAGGTAATTATCGCTCATCAATCACATTTTTGCTGGTTCATTGCTGAAATAA